CCCCCCACGCAGTGATTTACCTCTTTGCCAGGTGCTCTGGGTGCCAAAAACAACATCCCTGCAGTGCTGGGGAGGGGCATGTGACCGCCCTTGCAGCTTCCCTTTGCTTCCCTGTCAGACGGTTATTTTTCTGTAGGGAAGCAAAGAAATCTGTGGGGAACCTGGATTCTTCATGCGTGCAGTGGTGCAGAATTCCCCCAGGAGTAATTCAGGCTAAAAGGGAAGGGGAAAACCCCAAAACTGACTTGTAATTAAAAATCCCAGTTCATTAGTCAACTCATGTGTCTTACCTGAAGATGAAAATTTGCCACCCACCTCACTTTCCTTGTAAATTCCAGCTAATGGTAGGAAAACAGGATAGTACCCCCACCAAGTCCATTACTCTACTAAATTCTGTCTCTGTTCAGTTAGTTGTGTTCTGTGCTACACTTGGCTAATATGTTCTGCAAACCTACTACTCCTGATTCATATCAATTCTAAACTCTCTCTTCTAATATGGGGCTCTCAAGAAGTGACATTTGAGTAGAATATAAACCCAAATCTACTTCACCATGCTGTGCACATGCATATGTGGAATAACTTATTGATTATTCTGTGCTTTGTTCTGTCATTCTCTGATATGAGGCCTTGATGCTGCAAATATCTATGTTTTGGTGCTTATACTGGAAGCACGTGAGTAGTCATACTGAAGACAATAGGACCACTTGTGCTTAAAGTTGAGCACAAGCTAAAATGTTTTCAGGATTTGGGCCTAAATTGTAGATTTTGGGGGGCAGTAGTCGTGTCTGTCTGTACTAGTATTCCAGTGGACTCTGTAAAATAAATATGTTGAATCCGGTTTATCCATTAAGCCACTGGAAAACTGTTTTTCTGCTCTACATGTTAATGTGAGAAGCATCTTTTATCACCAGCCAGAACAGGGGAAATGGGTAGTTCTTCAAGAAGTGTCCCTGTCGGTGCTCCGCTTTAGGTGAATCTGCACCCCTGTGCTTGTAATCTGAGATTTTCAGTAGCAGTGCCTGGTTGCATCACAGACGTGCTCTCCCGTCTCGTGCCAACTCTGGCGGTTACATAGTGTTTTGGGACCCCCTTGCCTCCCTCCTCCCCCCAGTTCCTTCTCTACCACCCTCTGCTTGAGATGGAGCATTTGGCAGCACCTCTGAGATTTATCTTTAGCCTATCTTAACTTTTGAATACTAATTTGTTAATTAGTAGTTAGTTTACTACCCTACCTCTTCCCTGTTTATTCTTAACATTTCTCGTAACTTAGGAATTTAAGTTTCAGTTATTAGGAAATCCCTTAGTATAGTATAGTTACCCTCCTTCACGGGAGAAACACTATTCTAAGGGGCATTCCCAGCTCCCTGGGTTTTAAACGTTGCCAGTCCTCGATCCTGGTGTCTGACGGGCACTCACATTGTGTCTGCTGTCTTGTCAGTACACACATAGCACAAAAGTGCTTCCACTGCCACAATCTCAAGGCTCATGCCAGGAAAGCAAAACAAAGAGAAGGTTATTCACTCTGTGTAGTAACTGAGGTTCTTTGAGATTGGTGTCCACATGGGTGCTCCACTGCACCCCTGCCCTTGTAAGCAGAGATTACCTGCATACAGCTAGCGTAATCATAACTGGCAAATCATAACCTTTTCGTAGACATCTTATTTGACCTCCTTTGTACATGATTTAGTGCAACTATAGGACCTTGGTTGCAACAATGATCTATATGGTCACAATTCATGTCAATAACGTCACACCAACAAAAGTCAACATTCACACCTATGCAGAGATTGGAGTTCATTGGGGCCTACCTCGATTCTCTGGAATCTATAGCCTGTCTGCCCCGGCACAGATTTACCACTAGTCAACCTAATACTATAATGCAAGCCATCACATAGACATTGGCCAGGACCTGCCTCTGACCATGAGGCCGTATGTCAGCAATCACATTTGTTGTCAAGCACGCCAGACTGCACATGTGATGCCTGCCAGGCTGGCTCAGGACAGTATATATTCCACACACAAACAAGCTTCTTACAGTGTCAAGCAAATTAAAAAAACTGTCTACACTGGTGGCCTCAATCACACAATCTCCGTACAGGAGTTCCCTTCGCATGCCCCCACCCCTCCCTCAATGATACTTACAACAGATGCCTCTCTGCTAGGTTGGGGGGCACACCTGTGCAACCATACGATCAAAGGGTGTTGGTCCCCATTGGAAGCAACATTACACATAAATCTACTTGAGCTGCGAGTAGTGTGCAATGCATGCTCACGCTTCCTACCCATAATCAGAGACAGTTCCATAAAGGTGCTGATGGACAACGTCGCTTGTATGTTTTATACAAAATGCCAAGGAAGGGCATGGTCGTACTTCCTATGCACAGAAGCGATGCAATGTATTGAGGCATCTGCCACATCATCAACATCTCAGCCTCCTACCTACCAGAATGCCAAAACACCATAGCAGATGCATTGAGCAGAACCTTTTCACAAGACCATGAGAGGGAAATGAACATCAGGGTACTGCTGAACATATTCAGATGCTGGGGGTTCCCAACTATAGACCTCTTTACAACAAAACACCATGAGCCCATACTTCTGCTCCAGAGCAGGACTGGGACCCGTTCTCTTGTTGATGCCTGTCTCCACAAATGGGATACACATCTACTGTATGCTTTTCCCCCGATCCTTCTCCTAGCCAGGATCATACACACGGTAAGGACTGACAACTCCAGAGTCATCTTAATGGCTTCCATATAGTCCAGACAAATATGGTTTCCTTACCTCTTGAAGATCACTTTGTACCCACCACGCACTCCACTTCTACCTCATCTCCTGTCTCAGGATGCGGGCAAGTTTACCACCCAAACCTAGCAAGACTCCACCTGAAGACATGGCTACTCCATGGTTCCAAGACCGTGAAATGACCTATTCAGAGGAGGTAAGGGACTTCCTTTTAAACAGCAGAAGGTCTACTACACAATATACCTACCTTCACAAATGGAAAAGATTTCATACATGGTGCCAGAACAGTCAAACAATGGCAACTACCTTTCCTCTACCTCTGGTATTGGATTATGTACTAGAACTTAAGAAATCAGGTCTTTGGTTGAGTTGGGTGAGAGTATACCTTGCGGCACTCACAGGATTCCGCCACAAAGAGGACGACTTCTCGATCTTCGCCCACCCTACCACCAAAGGTTTTCTCAGTGGTCTCTGCCACGTCTAACCTGAAGTACGAGCCCCCCACTCCATCATGGGAACTCAGTCTGGTGCTGCGATGCCTTATGGGGCCCCCTTTTGAACCCTGGTGACGGGCTCACTTCTCCACCTCTCCATGCCTTCCTAGTCATTATAAATTAATGACACATTATCACATCCGCCCAAAGAGTGGGAGAACTGGGACCCTCATGGCACATCCCCCATACTCAATATTTTTCACAAATTTACCATATGACCCACACCCCAAGTTTCTACCTAAAATAGGTTAGTCATTCCATTTGAATCAACCCATCCATATCCCATCGTTCTTCCCAAAACCTCATGGGAACCAACAAGAAGCAATGCTTCATACCCTGGGCATCCAAAGGATGCTAGCATTTTACATTGAAAGGACAAAGTCTTTTAGAAAGTCACCAAAGTTATCCCTTTCCATCATGGAACGATCTAAGGGAGACGCCATATCCAAAGGCTGTCAAAATGGATCTCCGGCTGCACTGGCTTTTGCTATCGCCATCAACAAATACAAACGCCACTGCAGACCCACACACACTCCACCAGAGCTTTCTCTACATTGATAGCCTTCCTCAACAATGTGCCCATTGTGGACATCTGCAGAGTAGCAACTTGGGCCTCTGCCCATACATTCACACAGCACTATGTCGTATAGCTGGACTCGACATCAGACGCTATACTGGGCCTTGCGGTTTTATCATCCGCCCAGACTGCAACCCCGAAGCCCCTCCCTTCCAGAGAGGGGCACTGCTCTATAGTCACCTAAAGTGGAGCACCCCCATGGACACTCTTTGAAAAAGAGAAGGTTACTCATGCTGTGCAGTAACTGAGGTTCTTCGAGATGGTTATCCCTGTGGGTGCTCCACTACCCACCCCTCTACTTTAGAGTTTTTATGCTAGAAACTGTGATAGAGAAGTTGGGGTTGGTCGCACAATGCTATGTAACTGCCAGAGGTGGCACGAGATGGGGACAGCACATGTGTGACCCAACCAGGCGCTGCTACTAAAAATCTTTGATTACAAGGGCAGGGGCGCAGATTCACCTAAAGTGGAGCACCCATGTGGACACCCATCTCAAAGAACCTCAGTTACTACACAGGGTGAATAACCTTCTCTTTGTTTCGCTTGATGAAAAAGTGTGTGTGTGTGTCTGTCTGTGTATGCACATATTGCTGTTTAAAGATATGTAGCACAGTCAGAGTTAGTACATGTTTTTCATCTCTTCTAATACATGTACCTTATCCCTGTTTAGAAGGACCACTTGTAGTAGTGAGTAGGTTGTGCAGGAATCCTTGAGACATGGGCTTCTGCTGAGATTGTCAATAAGGTATCTGTCATGGTGATAGTTTTTATGATGTGGTTATCACTTCAGTAGAACTGGCACTTAGACCACCAAGTCATTACTGATGGTAATGACTCTAGGTCACACTTGACCTGTGCCAGATTTAGGTAAGGATTATCAAAGGAGCCTGAGAGAGAGAGAGAGAGAGAGATGCCCAACTCCATTGAATTTGAAAATCTCTGCCTCAAATCACTGATCCAGAAATGAGAGGCTCCATATACTGTTATAAATCCCTTGAAAGATCCAGTCCCTCCTTTCCCCATTTTATAAGTAGTTATAACAGCAGTAAAGAATTACAATATATTTTGACGTCCTGCCTTCAAAGATTTCTTTTGAAATAAACAAAGTAGAAATAAATTGCAGTAAAAGCTGCATAAAACATATAAATCTGAATTTTATAACTTTGTTTCCCCCCTCATTGTAGTTTTTATCCTCCAGTTGATGAGCCTGCTATTGGCCCTGAAAAATTGGATCTGTCTATGCGTCATGAAAGAAAAATTATCTTCAGAGGCAAAACCTTTCTGTTCCTAAGTGCTAAACAGGTAACTGGTCTCTGGGTTGCAAAGATGTAAAGACAGTATTGATCAAAGTATTTAAAAGATACTTTGAAACAGAAAACTTATTAAATTAGTTTTGTTTGTAAAAATGCACCAATTAGAATTCAAATGTAACATCTTGTATGTTGATAGTGTATTGAAACTGCACTCATTCAGAAGATATGTAATAGGGAGTGAAACTTTTGTGAGGGCCTGCCACAGATGTTCAAGCATCCGTGGAACTTGATCTTGATTCGGAGACGTTGTCTTAACCCATCAACAGAAATTGGACCTCAGCCCTTCAATCTGTGTCTTTTACTCACTTTTGTTTAAAACATTGAGTCATCTCCCTTCACCTACGGAAAATATCCACGAATGTCTGATTCCAATTGGTATGCTCTGAAAGTCCACAATCCTCTGAGTATAGAAAAACAATTGTGCTCGTGCAGTTTTATATCAAGCTTATCGGCTGTGGAGTATCCTAAAACTATATCAACTTTGCCCATATGAACTACTGGACAGTCTCTGTTTAAAGAGAGGGCTCTCTGCTTGCAGAAGCCTGGATAAAAAGCTGCGTTTTTTAACAGTTTTAGTTGAATACACATACAGCTGAAATCTGTACGTGAAGAGTAGGGTTAACCTATTCCATTTAGGTTGGTCACTAAAAATGCCTTCGGTTGGGTGCAAAAAACTAATTCTTTGGTCTTGGATTGCAAAACTGGGCGAGAGAGTTTAAAGAGTATCTTAATTGCGCCTAGATGTTGCCTACCTGTGCTATTGTATATGTGTGCCTCTTACTTTTTTAAACAAATGAGAAATATAAATGTTCATGGGACTTTACAGACATAAGACCCTGCCTCTTCCCTCAGGATCTTAGAGTCAGAGGCCCAAGTCCTGCAAAGGAATCTGCAAGTGCAGATCATTACCCCATGTGGATTCCCACTGAAATAACTGAATTCTGCACAGGAAAGAAAAGTCTGCATTTTCAGAACTTTTTACAGGATCAGAGCCCAGTTTGAGACAAGGTCTAATGAGAGAAATACTGATGAACACATGATGGCAACTGGCGGGGAGGTGGGCAGGAATCAGAAAACTTGCAATGGTCTCTTTTGATATTGTCTCTCTGATACCAAACATGCTTAATAGAGATTTGAATAATCACTTGCACTGGTAGTATAAGCTCGTGTATGTAAGCACGTTGCTCCTGGGGGAATTCTGCGCCACTGCGCAATGCAGAATTTTGCAGAAATTAACATGCACGCAGAATTTCTTTTCCCCCACTGAAATGGGCTGCAGTGTTGCTGGCCACCATTAGGGGCTGCTGGACCCAGCAGAGCCCAGCTTGCACACAGACGACACTGCCGGGGGGAGGGAGCTAGAGGGTTCCTGGCAACTGCAGTTCCCAGCATACCCTAAGGGAAGGAGACGGCAGTGTGCAGGAAACTCCATGCAAGCCTGGGACCAAGCATCAGGCTGTTTTTTCCCTCTGGATCCCTGGGATGGGAGGGCCACAGCTGGGCTCGGGGTCGGGGGGGGGGAGGAGGGCGCTGTCTGGGCTCTGGGGTGGGGAGGGTGTTTGGGTGTATTGATTGGAGGGGGCACCATGGCTGCGTTCTGGGGGGAAGGGGTTGTGGGTGTCTGGGCTCCCGGCTGGGCTCAGGGGGACGGGGAGCAGGTAGGGGGTGGGAGGAGCAGAGAAATAGGAACTATGTTGTCATAGGGGTTTCTTTAACTCTCTACTCCTGGGGGAATTTTTGTGTGTGTCTGTATTGTTACAGACATACTTGCTGACAGGTATTTTGAAATAAATTACCAAAATAATAGAAACTGGTGTGATTATGTAGTGTTATTTCGACAAATAAAATTTACAGAATTTTGCAGAATTTTAAAATGTGTGCAGAATTTTTATTTATTTGCTACAGAATACCCCCAGGAGTAGCACATGTGCATTTTACTTAGAGCTGGCTGAAACTCAGGATTTCCAATTTGCGAGAAATTGCAAATTTTGAAATTTGGTTTTGTTCTCTCACTAACAAGATCCAGAAGAAAATTCATTTTGGGAACGCTGTCACATGGTATTTCTGAAACATGGCATGTTCCCTGGGACGTGGCAGCTGCTGACTGAAACGAACATTCTTGACAGTTGCAACACTGCTGTTGGGTTTTATTCACTAGCAGTGGTGAAACTGACAGGAGTGTCCATTTCAGTCAGTAGCTGCCAGGTCTCCCAGAGTATGTCTACAGGGGGATAAAAAACTTGGCAGCTGACCTGGGTCAGCTGACTTGGGCTTGGATTCCGGGGCTAAAAAATCGCTGTGTAGATGTTGGCAGCCCAAACCCAAATGTCTACGCATCAATTTTTAGCCCCATGAGCCTGAGTCAGATGACCTGGGCAGCTTCAGCTGTGCCATGGGTCTCTTATCCCTGTGTAGATGTACCCTCGGGTCTGCAGCTCCAGGGCAGACTGGCCATGCCCACTGCCTCAGGACTGGGAACCCCGGTGCTTCAGAGTTCCCAGGCCAGCTGGCTCCCAGGGCTGATTGTTTGTCAAACTGAACCATTTTCTCAAGACAATGTGGGTTTGATGATCAGGCATTTTCCAACAAAATTCTTCATCAGAAAATTTCTAACGGGGTTTAGATTTCCTCAAATTAATATAGTTCTGATTCTAGAATAGGTTCTGCTATTATTCAATATTATTGTTGCTTCAGTAAAAAGAATACTAATGGATCTGACTAAATTTAATCTGTTCATTAAATTGTATTTTCTTCCTTGATTTTTAGCATAAGAAACTGAGTCCAGCAATTATTCTTGGAGGGGGAGAAGCAAAACTGTTGCCAGAGAGAATAAAAGAAACTTCTTTACTGTTAGCTCCTGAAGTTTGTGTCATTGATGCAGGATTAACTAACTCACAGGTCCCAATGTCTGACTCAGTGAGAAATTGGATTGATTCCATTATCACCGTGTTACAAAGGTGAAATAGATTCTTTTACTTTAATAGAAATTTCAGAAAATTTTAGCAGTAATTTGGATTAGTTCTTTGTGTACGGATTAAAGATGGGATTTTTTTGGAGAGGGTGTCTATATTGCTCAAGAGTCTTAGAATAATTTAATGAAATATTGACTAAAACTTTTGGGGGAGGGAAGGATTGTGTCGTCTTAGAGAATTTTGTCTAAGAACATCCAAATGAATCACAATTAATTGGACTTTGTTCGGTTAAAGTGTCAGTTTACTTTTTCCCTTGACCAACTGTTTGCTGTCTACAATATAAAAAGGAAAGTCAAGTCCTTTCTTGTTCTACCATTTAAATAAATAAAAAAAAGCTATGAATAAAAGGATTGTGAAAAATAGGAGAGAAAATCTATTGGTTAAATAGACAAGTGCATTTCTCAACAGATGAATAGGAACTACTTCCAAAATAAACTCTTACGGAATACAAATAAGATCATAGGAGCAGGGTCTGTCCTATGTTTTTATAAAAAGAACAGGAGTACTTGTGGCACCTTAGAGACTAACAAATTTATTAGAGCATAAGCTTTCGTGGGCTACAGGCCACTTCTTCGGATGCATATAGAATGGAACGTATATTGAGGAGATATATATACCCAGATACAGAGAGTACCCAGAAGTCACCTCCTACAAGACAGGCCCAACAAAGAAAATAACAGAACACCACTAGCTGTCACCTTCAGCCCCCAACTAAAACCTCATCAGCGCATCATCAAAGATCTACAACCTATCCTGAAAGATGATCCTTTACTCTCACAGATCTTGGGAGA